TCAATCTGTTTTCGCTGACCTTCAGAGTTTGGAAACGATGTAAGTATAATGGATAACAAATAAATCATATTTAATTGGAATTATAAGATGAGCTAACTAGTTATCAGTTTTATATTGGACATTTTATAGCAAACATTCAATGACATATTTTCCAGAAAAGTAGACAAATTCATTCACTGCTGCTATGCTGAAAAAGCCATAACTGGTGTGAAGTGTGAGTCCTTGGAATCCAATGAATTCTCTAGCTGTGATGACTTAATGAAGAACACTGCCCTAAGAATATTCCTCTGGATTCTTGGCTTAAGTGCACTGGTTGGCAACTTACTAGTCATTTGCAAAAGGATTTCCGGCAAAGAAATGAGACATAACACTAACTCTCTGTTGCTGACAAACCTTGCAATTTCAGATTTCTTAATGGGAGTTTACCTGATTACCATCGCATCATTTGACGTCAAGTGGAAAGGAGAATACTTCAAACATGATGTACATTGGCGATCAGGAGTTGGGTGTCGCATAACGGGAATGATATCGATGCTTTCAAGCGTGGTATCTGTAGCTTTTCTGGCTATTGTTACGTATGACCGACTTATCTGCGTTGTTTTTCCATTCACTGTCAAAAGGCTCAGTTGCAGAAAAGCTTTGTGTATCTGTGCATGCGTGTGGATTGTTGGTCTGGTGACTTCAATCATCCCGATCTTTGATTTTGATTATTTCCTAAACGACGAAGACGATTTCGGTTTTTACGGAAGATCTTCGGTATGTTTGCCTGTACAGCTTTCATCAGACCTTCAAGCRGGATGGGAATACTCRGTGGGGCTYTTCCTTGCATTTCCATTCGTTGCCTTYAYRTTTATGCTWATTGCTTATATYGCAATCATAAAGACAGTACAGAAGTCAGCAAATGCAGTYCGATCAACKGCTGTCAACAGAGAATCTTCTCTATCAAAGAAAGTTGCATTCATCATCCTTACTGACTTTCTTTGCTGGATGCCTGTTATTATCATCAGTTTTCTTTCTATTACCGGCATCTACAGCGACCCATCTAAACAAATGTAYGTATGGATTGCAGTATTTGTTTTGCCAATCAACTCGTCCATCAATCCTTTCCTTTATACCTTCTCAACTATCACCAGCACACAAAAAAGCCAAGGTAAACTTCGAAAACTATGCTTTGCAATGTACCACCATGACTTACATATTACCACGAACTTCCCATATATTACCATGCCTACCATCATGATTTAACATCTGCCAGCTTGCCTAAGCATTTATTTATACTAGAATGCTTTACCATATATACCATCACTTGCCATGCACTACTACCATCACTTACCATGTAATTATCATGCCTTACCATCATGATTTACCATTTCACTGCTGATGCCGTTACCATCGTATCCTTACCATCTTTTTGAGTGCACTCGGCCTTTAAATCAATTTGAGAAAATGTGTCTGGTGAACAAATCCTCGATATCGTCATAATAAGTTACGGGAGTGTCACGCTTTGATCTTGTCGTTTCTTGCAACTGTCTATCGTAGGACCCCCAAAAAGGTTACCGAAATCTACAGAGAACACTTCTGAACTTCATAGCGCAAAATCTGAGATAAAGAAGAGGATAAAGATTTCCTACAGAATACACCTGGTAGAAAAAGTTGACATCCAAACAAACTTTGACGGAGTGGTTAGTAAACCAAAGCTAATTATTACATGACTAACAGTGAAAATGTAGCTAATGATAGGAGAGATCTTTAGCGAAATTACCAGATGCAAGATGGTTGGTGATACCTTTTTTAATATACGTACACAATTGAAAAAACGTATTTGGATTCCAAAAAACTTGAACGCTAAAACCGAAAGGAAACATGAAGGTATCGTATACAGGTATTTGCCGCTCGAGAGAGTCCCTTTTTCGGATCACCAAGTCTGGGATAGTGTATCATTTTTTRACCATTTTTCTGAATTAGGGTAGTCTTTTTGTCTGGGATAGGTTAGTCTTTTTGTCTGGGTTAGGGTAGTAGTTTCTGGGATAGGGTAGTTAGTTGTCTAGTTTAGGGCACAGTCTCATTGTCTGCAGGGGTAGGGTGGAGTTTTGCCTGTGATTGTATCTGCTAGGACACTCTTTAGCGCTAAARCAATGTATCTTTGTACCTTTAGTCTTGGGTAGGGTATGCAAAATCAAAATGATTGGTCTTGGATAGGGTACGGGTTTTGAGAGTCGTGCGGCACAGCCACACCCAATTTGGGAATGCAATGCAAAGGCCGTTTAATTTCATTCCAAATTTTGCAGGGTGCTTTCTTGGCCGAAGTAAAGTCACTTGATTATGAAGACCTCTTCCTTATCAAGTACTTTAGTCAAACCAGGACGGATGTTTTTAAGAAAGAGGTTGATATCCTGTCTCAGCTCAAAGAATACAAGCATGAGAGCGTCATCGAATTTCGATGGAGTTGTTTGGGTAGGTATACTCATTGACAGTCACACGTGAAAATCAAGCTACAAAAATACTTTATCAGGTAAAATCAAAATTGAGAAACTTCTGAATAGCCTTCTTCAATGTTACGTACGCCATCTTGAAAAGGTAGCCGTGCCTTTGTATCGAAGCGAGACAACCGTTGAGCGTGCAATGATAGAAACCGTCTTTCACACCTACACACAATTATTCACAGCAGGACGAAGGGAGGGAGTCCCTCCCTTCGCCCTGATTCACAGTTTTCTATCATTGCACGCTCAACTGTCGTCTCGCCTCGATGTAAATGTACGGCTACCTTTCAAGATGGCGCAGGGAACCGTGACTATTATGATTCTGCACACTCGTTCATAATTTTAATTGTGTTGATATTTCTTGCAGCCAATGAACATATGACAGATGGAAAATCATTCAACGTAATCGAAATCAACAGTGCGTCTCTGTAAGTTTTGTTTTTTTTTAAATGTTTACTTTTGAGCTTTGATGCCTTTAAGGGGAGTTTCTTTGAGACCTGTGTCYCGAAAGAGCTAATTCAACCTTACTTTGTTTGCTATCATTGGTATGAAATTTAATCAGTCTGAGCAAGCTGTGATTATCTGAAAAAAAAAAACGTTTTTGTCTTCTTTAGGATTTGCTACGAATACGTGCCAAACAAAGTTCTTGAGAATTTCCTACAAGACGAAGATGAATTGTCATCCAGTATCTTGTGCTCGCTTTCCGTTGATATCATCTCTGCCATAGAATTTCTACAGGATTGTGGCTTCAGTAACAATAGTATCAATGCTCGATCCATCATTGTCCGTGAAGGAGAATCTAAGGTAAAGTCTCGTCAATAGTGAATATTTTTCCCTGTGTGTCTTTGTTGGCAAATGCCAATGTGCAGAAACCAGGTTTGTGTTGATTTGGTGAATGCAAGTTTTACTCGATTAGCTATTTTTTGTTTAAAAAAAGTCGGGAAAATTCATCTTTGTACAACGTTGTAGCAACAGCATGCAAGAAATCTAAGGTCGGTTATATATAAAACACCCACTTCTCCACAGGTTGTTCCTACAAGAGCTGTATTGGTTGATTTCTCAAGAGCAGGTAAGCTGAAAATCTATGACGATGGATTTTACGCAAAAACGGACATCATACAATTTGGTCGTCTCCTGAAAAAATTCCTGAAGGCTTGTACCGACTTGGCACGATTTAAACAGGTAAAATAATAAAACATACYATGTGAAGCATAGTAGAAAATGAGGAGATGGTGTTATGACGCTGAGTTTGGTCATTGAGTGAAACAATAGTGGTATCTTGCCTTCTCCCCCATTCCTCTGTATTGTAACCTTTTCTTTATTGATTTGTGTTAGGTAGACGAGGTCCTTTCACTCTGTGATAAAGAAAGAACAGACACTACAGCGACYTTGATCAAGAACCTTTTGATGGAGCTGTCGGTAGAGCGCATTTAGCACACACCAATGAAATGCGAAAAAAAAAAATCAAATTATTGATTATCAGGACCAGGACATTTGACGATTAGGAATTGTATCCTGCGTGAAATTCAAATGACGTTTATTTGGACACTCAGCTGCCAGAAATCTTGTGTACTGGGAACAAAAATATATTCTTAGATAGCTTTTAATTTTCTAGTATCAATGAAAAGTCGCATCTAAGTCCTCGGACATTAGTTAAGCAAAGTTCTTTTGGCTAAAATTTCTTTGTAKTTTTTTTATTCTTTGAATTCTCTTAGAATAGCACTTTTAATTAAAAAATCCGTTTGATTTAAACTGAATCCTAAGATAAATTAGAATGGGTGCCACATTATGCAGCGAGAAGTTCTTACTACACCCAACAACCTCAGAAATGAAAGTAATATCTCAATATAATACAAGTGTAGCGTTTAAGATAATTGCTTGAATTAGAGAAAAAATAAACAACAATGCTTGGTATGTTTCGGCATGAATCATAAATCATAGGGAGAGGTTATGTCTCCCGAGGAGGGGATGCTCGCCAGCAAAAAAAAAAAAGACAAAAAAAAAAAAGAATGGCAGAAGAAGACACAAAATTACAGAAATTTAAGTGTTTAATATCTTCAGGTTAGGAATCTTGGTTGTCCTTAAATCTTCCTGACCAGTGCAACTTCAGTTCTTTGATATCTGACCAGGTTTGTCGGTGCAATCTTAGAGCTGCGGTTTTCAGGGACGGCGAAGACGTTTTTAAAATGGGGGATTTTTCACTTCCATCCATCCACCCCCTTTGGCCACAATAGGTAATCCTATGTCATATCGGACTGAAAAATTGTTGTTTTTTTTCTTTAACCTCAAAACCCTTCCGTTGTTACGTTTTTGCTTGCTTTATGTAATATATACAATATGAGCGGGCGATCTGTATGAGGATTTAAAACAGCGAGCTGAAAGCGAGCTGTTTTAAACATCATACAGATCGCACGCGAATATTGTATATTACTTATGAAACGTTGAGGTAAACTAGCTCTGGTTTTAAAGAAACTTTGAAAAAGAATTCGAAATCGAAATCGAAATTTGCGACGTAGTTGGAGTTGAAGCACAATTTATTACGATCGAAACACTTTAAACTTACTTTAGCTTAATTTATTAATTSTWATMTATGTTCAGATTTTCTTATGCTTAATTAATTACTATAACGAAAATTTCTTGTACTTTTTCCAAAAGTGAATTTGCCATTGATTTGAAGAAAAAGAAATCCTGGATACGCCCATGCCGCTCGATCTTTTCAAAGTTTTCTTAGATGTAAAACCTACTCGAYTTTTAGGACATTAATACTAAATCATCTAATGAACACATCCATAACACCTCATATTACACTAAAAAAAATCTTTGAATAGAAAGCACTGATAATTCCAAACTCATGAGTCCGCAGTTGAAATACCATATGGAGATTGAAACTCGTTGAAAATGCACGTAATTATCCAAAACAGTCAAAAAGCAAAATAATATGAATGGACCACAAAAGAGTTAATGAAGTATTTTATAAAATGACACATCATACAAAGCGCGCATTGAATTGGCTTAAAAATGTGCTAAACACATTTTTTTCTAAGAGAGCGTCGAAAACACGGCATTCAAGCGCGGAGTTCTTGTTATTTATAATACATGTATTTCAGCTACTGATTCAAAGCCTTTTCTCGTGTTCTCCCAAAACCCCGCGTGTTTTTAACAGAAAGGAAAACGAAGACTGAAATTATTTTCCAATCTCAGTTCATTTATACATTAGCTTCTAGCTTAGCAACAATGCCTTTTCCTTGTAATCGCTCTAAATAGTCATGTCTCAATTGCTCGCAAGTTTTAATGGATTCTTTGCAAATTGCAGAAGTTTTGCAGTCCAATATAGGTTTTGTCTGAATTAAACAATATATTACACATTTTTCAGTCTGTGGATGCGCAATAAAATCTTTAAACGACCAAACGCAGTAATAACGTAACGCGGGCGTGGTCTCGCTAGCACTGCATTGACCAATTTACAGCAAAAGAACCCATCTTTAACAACCGCTATGAGAATACCTTATACTACTCCCTTCAATCCTTTTAATTAAATTGAAAGTGATTTGATATCTTCTTAGACCCGACTCCAAAGTATTATAGTATACTCGCTTTAGAGTCAGTTTTTTTTACTAAATATGTTAGCCAAAAATAAGAGAAAAGTAGTTCTTCAAAAAAATTTGTTATTATTTGCACGATATTGTTTTGAGTAACTACAGCCGCTCGACCTTTTTTTCCTTAGATGTAAAACCTACTCGATTTTATAACTAAATCATCTAATCAACACTTTCTATTACCTCATAAACTTACTCCTTGGGTGCTGGTTGTTACATGGTGATTCATAGATCGATCGTGGCCAAATCGTATGTTGTCTTTCTTCAAATAGTAGTGGTAGTGACGTGCAGTTGAACTCGGTAAGGTTCAATACCTATCAAGCGGCTTTTCAAGAAAAATAATTCTATTGAAGCTACACCTGTATATTTCAATAGCAAAATCAACAAGACAGCTAGCATTCATATAACCCGCCGGGCGCCGTTCCATCTCGATGAGGTTCTGTCTGTAAGTACTAATTCAACGACGATAGCCCAGGAAATAACCATGTACTTCTGAGCACGCCTTTATATGTGGTTAAATGCAATTTAAGCAATTGAAAGTTAGACTCGAGCTAAGGTCTATACGACATCCTATCCCAGCTAGCCCTAACCGGTGTCAGGCTAGCCACACGCCTAATTAGACCTCTACAAGCGCCACTTTGCTACTTATTTAACTTGATTACGGTCTACGTAATTGATAGCGAACACGATCACACGCAGTTCTCACGACACAGTTCTCATGGTGTGCGTTTTTACTTTTTCTCATCTAGAAGGTGAAAATAAATAAAAAATGGCAAAAAAATTATTTGGGATGCTTCAGACCCCAGCAGCGCTACCCGCTGTCCCGTGAAAGAGCTATATTTGCGCAATATAGGGTGGACTGAAAATAGCTTTCCCTTGCATGTGATCTTGTACATGTCCAACAAGGTAATGAGCAGCTTGGTAAAGAATCGCAAAAGATTGTTTCTTGGCTACTTTATTCACGAATTGTCAAAAATTCAATACATTTTAGATTTAAATATCTGTTGTTAAAGGCCAGTTTACACTTGCGTTTTTTGGTATCGCGATTGTTGCGCGACCATGAGTTTCGAACGTTCTTGAAATTTAGCTTCAACTTCACGGCGTTTGGCTGTTTGCACGTCCGATTTGAGTTGCGCGATAGCAAAATGGAGATTATCGTGCAACAATCGCTCTGCAAACATCGCAAGTATAAACCTGCCTTTATAAGGACCAACCGTGAACACTTTGGTCATGAGATTTGGAAAATTCAAACTAAAGTCTTAATATTCATAGTATAGTCTCCGAATCGAAACATCATAATGTATTCTTTTAGTACAAGAATACCCGACTTGATTTAAAACGGACTGAAATTTGTATAAATCCGGTAATTACCGTGGTACATGCCGGTTGGCTGTAGCCCTTTAGCGTATCCGGAGATACTATTTTAACCGCATATAATTATTTCAAAAAAGGTTGTCGGATAAAATGTCGAATGTCAATGGTCGAACGGCGATTGCACGACCGAAAGTAGCCACATGGGCTTTACTAGTTTCAATGCAATAACAACTGATTTATACTGTAAGATGGTCTCTGGTAAACAATGGCTCCATTTAGTCTCCATTTCTATGTAAGGTGAATCCAATAAGTCAAATTTTGTTTATCAAAACAGTGTAACCATAGTTCCTTTCGGTCGTGCAATCTCCCTTCAACAATCGCTGTTCGCCGTTCTCCCCGACAACGTTTTTTGAAATAGCTGTATACGTTTAGATGCGTCGTGGTTTTCAAAACGCGGTTTTGAAAAATATTTCATTTTTAAGCGTTTCCAAAATCATTCGTCATCGTTTTCGGTTTCGTTGTAAACCATATACGCCGCACGCATGCAGTTTCGAAGAAGCTATGATTGTTTAACTACAAACTTTATGTTTCTATACAAAACTGGACGCTTATCACAATACAAGTGACAGTCATATGGGGAAATAAGARCACTGACATAAAATTTCTAAAAAAWTGCAGTTATAAAAAGACTTTATATTGACTATTAGTCCCTGTTTACACGAGATAGGGTGACCCTAGGTGTAGAGCCAGCCAAACTCTTTTGTTTTCAATCCTCCAGGGAAAAGAAAACAAAGGAGTTAGCCCTACCACGTATTGCAATAGAGCCTCTATTTAGCAACCAGTCAACATCCATTAACCGGCCACTATTCAATTTCCCAAAAGTCACTTCTCTTATGTATTCAAAGCTAAACGTGACCTATATTTAACGGCCAAGCTCTCAAAAGCGGTCACCTCTAGTCTTGATGACCGTTTAACAGAGTTTTACAATTTAGCAGTTTGATTGAAAATACTGTCACAGTAAACACAGTTCTCTTTAAAAAATTCAAATAGCTAAAAAGGCAAAGTAAAAACAATTAAATGAAGTGAATTTTTGAAGTCTTTGCTAATATTATGCATTATCTTCTATCAACAGAAAAAATACAAAAAAATCAAAGAGCAACAAGTAACAAGCTTCAAGCAACAAGCAACAAGCTTCCTCGAAGAAAATAGCATATTTTCTAAAAAAAAATTCTAGATTTTCTAAAGATTTTCTATTCACAAAATAAAGATATTCACAATAGACTTTTTACAATTGAATTCCCTGAATCAGATCCAGACTAGTTGCCATTCACTAATTTTTTGTAGCAAAAATATAAATATAAAATAATCTGTTTACGCATTCTATACGTACGCATAAGGATTATCTACTGCTCGAGAATTTTGATTCTGGTCATTGCTTTCTACAGTTGCTCGTACGGAGCCACCCTGTATTACGGCCGGCCGGTTTATGCGGTTTGCTTGGACACTATACGATCGACGTAAGCCCTCTCCACCGCTATTTTGGCGTTGATGGGCTGGGAGGGTCTGCGTTGACGATGTACTGTTGCTGCTGCCAACTACAAAATTWGTTAACATCACATCGGAAGGTCCGCCACTTTCAAGAGGAATGGGATTMGCACGGAAATGTTCCAGCATTTCAAATATACTCTGAAACCAAAGATGCTGAACCCGGCATTGTCCCTCGGCGTTAAGAGATAGTCGTAAATGCTGCAATAAATGAAAATGTTCGTTACATATCTACTTGTGAAAATGTAAGGGGAAATTAACGCAGAAAAATAACAACAAAAACAAATGGCGAACGAAAAAGACCCGAGACTGAAGGCAGTCTGTGAATAGGAAATGAAAGCATCGAACAACTAAAGTAATTAACAATATTTAAACCAGCCATTAAATTATAACGACAGAAAGACTGAAGTTTTTTATATAACAAACATTCCCAGAGGATTTGGCGCCATTTGATAGCAGGAATCATATCGACATAACAGATCGGAAAACCTAACAATGAGCAATGTTATTTTAAAAAAGTCTTATATATTCCGGCTTATTTTCAATACAACCTAAACGACCATCGTTCTCGAATCGTATTCAAACTGTCTTCAAAAATGTCTCAAAAATTGATTTCGTGTTAACGACTGACCTAGGATGGGAGGATGTGTGTGTGTGTGTGTGTGTGGGGGGGGGGGGGGGGGGGGGGGGGGGGGGGGATTGTGAACCTTGGGAATGCGATTTCCAGTACTTTCTTTTAAGGATCAAATAAACAAATAATCTTCAAAATAGCCTTCAACCCCCACCCCCACCCTGCTTCGTGGTCCCTKGGTCCCTGATAAAACAAACTTACTGATTGATGATTGTCACTTTTGACTAGCACCAAATATCATAAGAGCAAGTTGCCAATACTTCCTAAACATGCACTGACCTTGGCTCTTCCTTGATAGTTAAATGTTAAAACATATTCCCCATGTCTTGTTTCGCTTTGCCGTATCAAGAATATTCCATGCCATTGCTGACTTCCCTGTGAGACCAGATGGGAAGCATCAAGTCTTGACAGAGTACCATGAAACCAGGGATAGTTCGCTAAGGGATGGTTATGCCCTGACGCTGACACCCAAACAGGAGGYTCTACATGTTAACAAACACAATSTTATTTCAAATATGGTCCAATATCGAAATATACACGCACACTTTAGTATTTTACAGCCTTTCAAGAACAGGTTTCAAGGAAATTTTRTATATGTTTCCATCAGTTTTCATCCTGTCAACTCTTTGATAAATCAGGTTAGATTTTAATTAAAAATTGTCATGTTTCAATATTTCTGTCATCATCAGAATCAAGATGATGAATATTATATTATATACATACATGTACAAACATAAATGTTTTACTTGGAGCTAAAAAGTTTTATTACCTTCTGACTGTGATTCTTCATCATTGTGAATTTGTCCCAGTTGAGGAGGAAGAGGATTCATTGCTAATGATGGCGAATCAGTACTGGTTGGAGAACGCGGGGGTAATTCAGGAGGTGGACCTCTGTTGATGGGCTCAACTRCAATATGAGCAAAAGAGAAACACATGATACATAGGCAGATGAAAACTATATATGCAATACTCCTGAAAATATCGTAATATMAACCACTTAGGAAAAAAAATTGTTCATTTTACTGAATTGGTACAAGTCCTACTCTTCACTCRGCTAGCACAGGAATCACATTAATTTGACAGAGAACTAGTGGAAGAGACAAGTGAGTAGCAGATCTTTAAGTAAACCTGAAAAATTCTTGAAATATTGTATTCATCGTTCTGTGACGACTACCAAGAAATTCCATTTCACTAACTCCTTGAGGGCTTAATTGTAAGTAGTCTTCCACAGCCATTCTTAGTGGTGGCCACTAAGAATGCCACTAAGARATGGCTGCGAGGAGACTAAATTGTAAGCAGTAAAAACATATACTGGGCATTATTTTGCATTAATAGAAACTATTACTTGGGCTTTCCAAAGGCGGTGGTCTGTTAAAAGTCCTAAGGGATGACTGGCGAAACCCAGGACTTAAAGGAGTTCTCTTTTTTGGTTGTCTACTTTCTGTTGGCAAAAAGAAGAAAAATAATAATTAAAGATATAGATTTCATAATTCAACAACAAAATTTCTCCTTTGTTGAATGATTAAAACAATCAACTAGTTGAAATCTCATCCATTTTGCTGTGATCTGTTCCCCTTAAAAACTGGGTATTGTTACTCAAAACTTCATCCTTGCCCTCAARCTACATTCTCAGGTGACTATTTGTTTTTTGGAAAATCCAGTTTCTATGGGCAACTACCACCAGCATAAAACCCTCAATTCAACTAATCTATTGTTTAAATAGAATACTTTGATACCTGAATCTGTAGTTGACCCAGTAGTAGCTGTTGTATTTTGTAGGTTCAAGTGCAAAGACTGTCTGCCTTTTCTTGATCCAGGTGGAGTAGAAGCTGGCGCATGCGTTAAAGTCAGTTCTTGGTTAGGAGCTGCAGTTGTTGGAGTACTAGGACTAAAATAGAGAATATAGTTTGATAATTTATATAACAGCGCCATTTAATAGATACTCATTTTTAAGTATAAATAATTGAATAGTAGATCTGTAAAAAAAATATAACAGAGACACAGAGAAAAATGGCACTCTGGTGACACAAACTATTAAATAGTTCTTGAAATGAATATTAATTTTGATGAGCTTCATGGCCATTTTCGCATAGTGAAGGAAGTACTAGAGATAGAGAGGAAGATATATAAGCCGCTTGTACAAATGTAAAACTTACCATRRAGAAGTAGGCAGTGAAGAAAGCAGCTAGAATGAAAAAAKGACAGCCAGCTGCTTTCTTTCCTGCTTCCTTCTYGACTCTTCTAACCCTCCTTATTTCAATATATAATTACTTCAAGTGATGAAAATTTTATGACAATAACAATTTCATTAAAAATGCAGTCAATCCTATTAACATTCTTGTTCACTTGTAAAGACATAAATAATTTTATTTGCATATATCACATMTTTTATACCTTTTCAAGAATATTCAACATAAGTTCCAAATTTACAATGTCAACAACAATGAGTTTCTTATTTATCTGGAGTTTAAAGTGTATTTTCTGGAAATATGATAAATATTTTGATGCAAATGACTTTGTTGTTATCTTTACAATTGAACAATGCTAATCATATGGGATTGGCTGTAACACAATGATTAAACATACACGGAGGATGAGCCTTGATCCTCCTCAATACATGAATGGAGCTCGCTAAGCCATGCATCCATTTCTTCTTTGTCATTTGCTGCTAACATATATTCCCTTTTATTTACAGCCTTAGAAGAAAAACAAAAAACAAAATTATATTTAACTTGTAACATAATTTTCTCAAAAATGCTAGATAAATAATAAAGAAAAATAATGATTAAGGAAAGTCTACWTTKGGGTGTTCATCAGCTTTAACAAAACTACGACTACAAATGGCTTAAAGAGAAATTATGAAAAGAGTCTGAYTTTATGGTCAGCACTTCTTTGTGGTGTTTCCCACAAATACAAAGAATATAGATCTGTGGGAAGATTGGAGTTGAAAATGAAATAAATATATCGATGAGGTCACAGCAATGCTCTCGCAACACTTGTACCAGGTTGCTGGCTGCTTTGAATTGTACACAAATATGTTGAGACTCATACTTTGAAAAAGAAATAAAACACCAGAGCATAGCTTGGATAGAAAATATTTATAAAATCATGTTTTGACTACCTATTGTTTATAYATAACTAACTATTCACAACATACTTTGATGACAAARACATTCTGTCCCATTGGCATCTCCAGTTCAGTTGCAGGACGGACTTCGTGAATTAAAAAACAAAATATGCCATTCTTTGGTTTAGGTGACTGAAAGAATCAAAATATTATCAACAGTTAGAAAACACCAATCAAAATGACTTTGTTCTAGTTTAATAGCTCCATGCCAAAATGTCAAATAAATATACAACAGATAAGATACATGTTTGCATAAATGATTCATTTATCTGATTTTCCAGAAATTCACAACATTTTCTTTCCTTTGGATGAATACCCCGAATATCTTACCTCAGTTATCGAAAAATAATTTTAAATATGTTCACACTTATATTGCAGTCAAAAATCAAACATTGGAGAACATCATTGGAGGCATTGTGYATAAGATAGTGTTTGGGTATGAAAGTCTTAGCATTGGACCCAGAATTTAAAATCAGGCTAACCAGGTTCAGGGCCATATTGAGTTTTCTGTCCAGATTATTTAAAGTTAGTGGGGGGCTTCACCCTCCCAAAAAATGTACTAAATATCTTGTTTAAATATATAAATTAATGCTCCAACCATTTTAYATGCACTGGCACTCCTCCAGCGTGCACAGATGCTACAAAACTATATGAATATCAATAAAAATTGTAAATAAAGAACGGATTACCTTAGGAGGACAGTAGAACTCCAACATGTAGCCCCCTGGTGCYTTTAGTATCACGACTCTGCATTTCTGCCAGAAGAAATCTTCTGTATCAACTCCTTGGTCTAAATTCATGAGATAATTCATAACTGCTTCCTTTCGAATAGTACTGGAAAGTGGTTTAATCTTTTCGATCGGTTGACCTTGGTGATCATCATTTGCCGAAGGGGATGTAACTCGATTGTCGGCCGTCGTCGTCTTTGCAGTCGTAGTTTCGTCGACAGAGCGTTTGAACAAATCCTTGACATCTCGAAGCTTTCGCATAAAACTAAAAGCATTTTCTCGGTCCTTTTTCTCCGGCGCTAAATGTTTGAAATTGCTTGTCAAATGCGTGTTCGACCCCCAATCATCGGGACCAAAAACTTCGGTCGGTGATTCCGGTTCGAAGATATCATCCATTAAACAATTTTTATGAACTTCTTGATTAAAACACTCGAGAAAATACTCAACAAAACGCTTCGAAAAGGTGTACGAAGCCCCTGAGACATCATAAACAGGGTTATCGTTGAGAAACTGAAGGAATTCACGTGAAAAAGCTTTGGCTGCGTTGTCGGCTCGATCCTTGCAAAATTCCTCCCATCTTCCACTTGGAAATGTAGACGCTATCTCACCATTAAAGCAAGCCATTAAAAAAACAATTCCCCTTACATCATAACATTGATTTGTCACGTTTACGATCCATAAAAGAAGAAAGGAAAATCTTTAATTTCCACCATTACTTCAGCGGATTGCTGGAAATGACAAAATACTATGCGCAAAGTAATATAAATAGCACAGCTTATGCGCAACTTCCGTCGGCGAACGTCATTTTAGGAATAGAGTTTTTCTTTTCTTTTTTCTGTTTATGGGACGTCAGGTTTCCTTGCCAGAAATAGCCAAACATTACAAGCCTAATTCCTTTGATCTGGACAATGAAATATTAAAAAAACTAATAAAATGTACAATGAAAATTATTTGACATTATCGGTAGCCTGTGTACATCCGTTTCTCACCCCTTTTGGAGGGGTGAGAAACGGATGTACACAGGCTACATTATCGGGCGCGGGTTATCCGATTAATACAAATGCCGATACGGAAAAACACAGTATCGCCTACGTCATCAAATTAACCTAACAGATCAGAATGAAACTCGATCGAGAACTACTACGAAACTAGCTAGCCGCGAGGCCCTCTATGAAATGGTTTACAGTAAATACTTTTCTAAAAAAAATTATTTTTGTACAAAATGTTTCACAGATATCAACTTATTAGTATCTTTAAAAAAAATAGAACATTAGATAAGACGGGAACACCTTTCTGATCTAATTTATTTTATTTACATTTTTCTCTTTACATAATTTTTTGGGGGTTCTTTGGTTTGTTTTTCCTCGTTTCAATACATTTTGTTAAAATTTTGCTCAAAACATGACATATGATTAGTCWTCATTTTCATGACATGAACTACTTTAAAATGATATGGTCCTAGAAAAACTCAAAAGTAAACGAGAAAATATATTATCATTTTAAACATCTCGAGGCTGTATGGATACTAGCCACTTGCAGTAGATTTTAAGAAAACAATCAAAGATATATTCCGCAATAAATTCTCTTGCATATTATCTATCGACTGAGAAGATTTTTAGATCTTAAAAGTAATAAAGTATGATTACAGACTTATTAGACAAATAATAGCTTTGCCTAAATACAACACAAATTTCTTTGGTGTCAAATAGGAGTCGATGAGACATTAGGGTCGAACATCAGTGGAGAATCGTARTTACTACTGCTTGTRCTCATTTTGCGTTTYCCTTTTTCATCCTTATGTCTGTGTTTCTTTTTCTTCTTTTTGTGCTTTTTTGGTTCACTTTCTCCAGCGTCCTTAGGATGGACTTCCCCGCTGCTTTCAACGCCACTTTCGTCGTTTCCAAGCTATAGAAAAWAGGATACAGTATMAATATAACCCWCAAWCAGYAATATTAWCAATCAACMAGCCGAAACACTCAATCCTTAGGTATAAAAAGGAAYAAACATTTTACCTTKATTTTCAATTTGAGCTTGTTTCCTTCTGAGCAAGCAGACTCCACACTCAATGGGGTTCCAGGTTGAGAGTCTAAATGACTGKTGTCTAAAAATAAAACATGCAAAAACACTAAATTAAAAATCATAACGAGTCGTTTCGAGACTTCTGTCTGATAACCAACGGTGGCTCGACCCAAACAGTATGACCGGCTTACCTGTAGGCGAGTGTGGACGTGATGTCTTACGCTTTCTTTTGTGACTTTTCTTAGATGTTTTCGATGCTGTGGATTCTTCAYCACTTACAGAACCACCCTKGKTAATAATGTAAAYGCGACGGATTTAAGTTAGGATCAGGGATAGAAGGAAGTGAACGAAAGACGTAGCAAAACTGATGAGGTGCAAAATACTGAGACCAATTTATGCAGTGCAAAGACTCGACAGAGTTAAGGAAATAAAGGGTTATGGAAAAAGGAGTGAGAGATGAAGAAAGGAAAATTGGAAGGAACCATACATGTTAGCACAAAGCCGTGAGGGAAGGAAAGAAAGGAAGGAGAGAAGGATGGAAGGAAGTAATACGAAGGAAATAAGAAATGAAAAATAAACACAAGGAAAGTACAAAACAACGGAAGAAAGAAACTCTACCGGTGATGATGGCATGGCAAGCGGCGAGAGACTCATAATTTTCTCTTTTTTCAGGTCAATGACGATGCCCATCTGTTCACAAAAAAGCCGCTAAATTATTGGATGGAAGTGGAAGGATATAAAGGGCAAAAGATAAATATAAGGGCGGGGCGTAATAAGGAGAGGTACTTCGGGAACTAATAAGCAATACTGAACAAAAATCAAARTAAAAGACGCGTGGAATTCACTTGACGATACTCACTCCCTGTGGTGGAACACAAGTTGGTGTTAGCCTTCCGAACATAGAGTTATACAGGTCAGATGCATCACAGCGTAAACGGGCGTCGTGAACGGTGCTATTAAAAACACAAATCAGTAAAACATAAGCTATGAAGACGGCATTGTTCTAGCTAAAACAGACTCGTCCCTAGTCTTTTCCGATGCTCTAAAAGGGGTTATTTGGAAATGCCCTTGATGCATATCGTTCCGCTCTAAAGAGCGAGAGAAGATCTGGGTACGAGTCTGGCTAAAACAAGAGCAGGGACGCACTTACTTCATTATATGCCACAACCGTTCGACGATGTTCTCGGTGCAGAGAGGTGAATCGGCTTTGCGTGTGAAGGGAGGGTTTTCAGCTAATGATCTTAGTGTATAATGCCTGGTGAAATGGTAACATCAAAGAAAATCAAATAAAAATACTCTAGATTGATAAAACGATCTCAATCTCTTATATCTTGACGATGGAGGGGGTTTTCGAATGTTCTGAGGAACTGAAATGCCAGGTCCGGATTTCTTTACTGGGCCCAAAGCTGCACCTACTACTAGTCGCGTTCAAAAAATTCACCATATATAAGGTCGAGTTGAACAATCGAAGTATTATAAAGAACATTGAGTTGTCTCTAGCATGAAAAAACAATTTTAATGCAAACGTTTCGCTTTGCATTTTGCCACTGCACTGAAGACGATCGCAGTTGCGATCGAAGCGTTTGCATTAAAATTGTTTTTTCAAGCTAGAGACAACTCAATTTTCTTTATCATGCAACATCCTAGCTGCAACTTCAAATATTTCGTGAAATCGAAGTATTATGTACCTGATAAAAGGAACTGGGTCTTTTTCAACGATTGTTAGTAGAAAACTAAGAACTCGTTCACTTTGCTCCACTGAAATGATATTATAACATACAATGTTAGTTGCGTACAGGTAACAAAATGTTTCGCTGCGCTGGCTCCACTTGAGTTTTGAACATTTTATGATGTCAAGAGTGTGTCAGTAAGACGAYATACAAATCCGTAAGCAGTTTGTTAAATATTTCACGTATTTAGTGTTGGTTTTAATGATCTACCTTTGGCAAAGTCGACAAGACACTCAACAGCACATTTTCGTACATCTTCAAAATGACCATAACTAAAAAATGCATAAGAAATCATGAAATTTATCCTCGAAGAAATAACACTGTATTTAGTCTAGTTTGGAGTCCGACGCGAAAATGATTAGAATCCATCGCAGGATATGGGTCATGAAGCGTGTTTGACAGATAGGGGTAACGTTTRAGAAGAGCCGGGATGAAAGGTCTGGAGGGTTAAAAGCAGTTTCAAKATTAAAAGAAATTTWAGTTTTATTATCCGAAACCCAGACACACCCATCGCACTTAACACACCTTGAGTAATATTCGTAGGTCTTTGGATCGGATGGAACTTGTCCGTTGACTTGAAGAGTTCTTAAAGCCTTTAGGCAACTAAAAGAGTAAGGATCGTTACTACTTATGATCAATATTGCATATTTGAAATAAGAGTAGGTTAACGGCCATGATCATTCTACCCGATCATCTAGCTATAACACTAAATGTAAGCACATGCTAAGGTAGAATTCCATGTAGAATGCACGCTGAAGACGCAAAACTGAAGCATTATGCAGCACGAAGTTTGGCACGGTAACATTTGTCACGCAGAAAATCTTTTTAAAAAAAGTTTAAAATAGTTTTATAAAATAGTTGAGACACGTTGATGTCGCCAACCTTGTTTTAGAAATCTACTGAACACATTGTGCACTTCCAWATGTTGATAATCAACTGTACCTGACTGTGACGACGTATCGATAGGATGGTAGCAATTTCTCGACATTAAGACGTCGAGTCACCTCACTTAAAACAACCTGCGTGTCTTCTTTCAATTTGACAACATGCTTTCCAGTGCTGAGAAAACAAAACCATACAAAACTCCAATGAAGAACGGATTCAAACTGCGTTAGATTTAATACAGTCAACTCTCTCGTAAGCKACCACCTCGCGATTAAGAAAAAGAGGTCGCTTACTAGAGTGGTCGTTCAAACAGAGTTGACTGTATYATAATTACCTTGTGGTTGTAGTCATACATACTCCAGCAGTGACTGTCTTTGCTAAGGCAGTAATCAATGCTGCAATGTAGTAACCATCCGAATACTAAAATAGACGAAAAAAACACCTGTTTCACTATGACGCCACGGTATATTTACTTTATACTTGGGGGGGGGGAGGGGTGAGAGGACAGGGTAAAATCCATCCAAATTTATGGAATGGTCATAAAAGGTGCATGATGATGTCAGTTACCTTATTTATGCGATTATCGTTATATTTCAACAACTCAAGTAAAAATAGAAGAATTTCACGTGGACACTGTGAATGGATATTACGTATAGATGCTATGGCAACTGGGAGAGTCTGAAATGAGACAAATTCTCTGTACTAGTCACAGTTAACAAAGTGTTCACACGAATTTTATCATGTCATTATCCATGAAGTACATGCACATATTTCTTAATTTCTTGTTGTTTTCATTTGTGAAAAGAACACTTTTGTAATTTTGTACATATTAACGGGTAAATAAAAATTGTTATACACCCTTTTCATAAGTCCCGAGGCATTGTGTTCTCCGCACTTGACGTCAAATTTATTCTTTTGAAATTTTTACATACAAAAGGAATTCAAAAGAATCAATTTGACGTCAAGTGCGGAGAACACAATACCTTGAGACTTATTAAAAGGGTGTATAAAAGATCATTTGCTTTCATGGAAAATCATATGATAAACAGAATTACAAGGTTCCTAGGAGATACAGATTTCATCTTTTCGTGTTAGAAATCACCCGTTTGATATCAATCAAACACTCGAAGATAAAATCCATATCTCTGTGCGCCCATGTACTGTCCTATTCATTACTCATTTGTTGTATGAATGGTCCTACCTTGAGAATAAAATAAGATATAAAATTCGAGAAATCGTTATAACGAATAATCTGAGGACAAGATTTTGAGGAAAAGAAGTTTTTGAAGATGTTCATCATAGCGGCATGACCTGCCCAGCTTTCAGCGGTCGATGTGGCAACCTACARAGAAAATGAAATCCAGAAAGTTTTAAATGATATAATTTTGCATTGCATTAACGAGAGTCTAATTAGTCAAGAACTTTATTATTCCGCTTWATTATTCCGCTTTTCTTCRAGAATTCAGTCTTCCTCGAMCTTACCTTTGCCAAACAGTAACAAGCATCTTGCCGTATTTTATAGAAACATTCCTTGTTTTTTACGATGTCAATCAAAGCTTCACGAGTCGCTGGAGATGGGAATCGATCAAGTGCTTCAAGAGCCTRCAATTAAACAAATCTCCTGATCATTTCAAGCAAATGGAGACGGATTAGCAGCTTTCATGAGATGTGCGCACATAACATTCTCCCCATCACTCAACATATTGCAAGGAAGTTCAGCGTACTTTTGCTTGTGCCATGACGTCACGCTCATGACGTAGCTGGTACTGCCACATGTAATCAGGCTGCTCGAACGTCACGTGACGGAGCCACGTGACTTCTGGGTCGATACGCATCCAGAGAACAGGTGAATCAGAGCTAGAAAAAACAAGGATTAAATCAACGACAGTTGACGTACAATAGTTGTATTAGTACGAATCTCAATGATGCACAAATTGACAAATTTTGCAATTGATTTTATGGAAACATTTTTAAAACGATGTTGCGCATATCACAGAAGTGTAATTTATGTTTATTTGAAAAACAATTAGAACTTACTCCATTGCATCGAGATTCATGTCAACTTCCTCGCCAGTCATCAGCGGAATCTTCTTCTTTTTGTTTCTAAAAAGACGACGAGTATTATGTCAGTGGCTTCACAAAGGTTAGAAAAAAAAAACGTAAAATACAGATATGTAAATTGAGCTGAATGAAAAACATCGGAAAATGAAAGCAGGAAATTAGTCATCAAGGAAACTAGAATCAGATAAAATACAAATGGAATAGAAAAGAAAAGAAAAGAAAAGAAAGAAGGGAAAAGAGATGGAGAAAATGAAATGTGGTAAAAGAAATTCGCATTAATGGAGAAAACCAGATGGTCAGATAAAATACAAAGGGAATGTTACACTTTTTGAACACCTTCTGCTTTTGGAGTGACACGGCAGCTCGTGTCGACTGGATATGTCTTCTATCTGTACAGTATGATTAAACGATCCATCTAATTCTTGTATACACACAGTAAGTGGACCCTACAGTCGCAAAATAAGATCGTTAAATTTATACCGTTCCGTTCTAGTTTCAACATATTTGAATTTGGAAGGCTTACTGACTTGAAGTGTGAAACATTAGAAATACAATTTTGTACAATAACTTCTTAACAATATAACTTTATAACAATAATTATTCAACTGTGTTTTAAAGAATTTAGTAATGAGTGTTTCACTCTTTTACTGAATGGACAATCTCACAAATTAAAAACAAATCAATTTGTGCAAATTACATGGCACATGGAAATGACGTCAAACCTACCACATATTTAGTTGTACCACGTGATAAATCTTGCTTGATGTCCAGCTCTACAATATTCCTTTTGCGATTGAAGACGAAGCTGCCATGAAATTTAGCTATGCCACTGTGGCATCTGAATGACGGATGGTCAAGGATAAAACACATGCATAGCTTTGATCCCACTCTTCTATAACACAAGCGATTCCCCCTCCTCACAATACATGATACAGATACAACCTCCTTCCCAGTGCCCTCTCTGTAGCTATTTTCAAAATAGTGGACGCTACAGCGCGTCCACCATTTTGAAAATAGCTACAGAGAGGACCCTGGGGACGAGAGATTGATACATTTAATAAATACCTTTTGGACAAAAGCTAAATGCGAAAAAATGCATTTGCATCATTACAGAGATAAGAATAATAAGAATAATGTTCGCTTGATAATAGGGAAAGGATACATCCACTGGTCGATAAATACATTAATATCTTTTCCAGACACAGTTGATATTGACTTAAGAAACTGTTTAAACAAACAAACAAACAAAAACAGCACAAAAACTTAAATTTGTACAGTAACAAGCATTTCTTAACAAAGATCAAATGTCATATTGTTCCAACTCCGCTTACCCCTGTGGTAGATAGCAGTAAATTCTTCCATAAGCTTGGGTCGACTTTAGGTTGTGCAGTAGTGTTTGCTAGAGACAGAAGCTTGTTGAAAACCTATAGAAATGAAGCCAAATTGCAACAAACGTTAGTAATGATGGTGACTATGATTGTAGAGCGGATTTCGTATGAGTGGGACACCGTTACCGCACKGTTACCGCACAGTTACCRCACCTGRCCTGCAGAATTTTGGTGAAACAATGGGGCACTAGAATTTGGTTACAGTACGATTACGGTCACAGTACAGTACCGTCCGTTTCCCACTCATACGAAATCCGCTCTAACCCGTAAATTTACAAAGACACATTGAGATGATTATAAGTCAGAGGAAGGAAAACATCGTTGAGAAAACCCAAGTTTTGGATAAAGGAACGAGTCAAAAATACAATATAATAATATAATATAACGAGTACAAAATACAATATTCCGACTTTAATTCAAAGTCATAATCGTTACAAAGACACAAAACAAAGAATGTGCATCCATGTAAATATAATGCATAAATTATTGCATTACAATTTCTTTGGATTTTTATAACACTGATGAATAAAAGATCAGCCTAGTTCAATTTTTTGAATAAAAGAGATTTTTTGGTCATAGCTGTTTAGCTGAATACCATGGTAAAAACTAATGGAGAAATAAGTGAGTTTATATTTATCTAACGTTACCTGAAGCAAAGGTTCTTGTCCTATACGATTCTCAATCATTCTAATAACTAGGTGAGCCTTACTCCAGGCGACTTCCTTCTGTTTCACGCCAATCAGATGAGGATGGAGATGGATGGCTGAGAATGGTGTTGATGATGGTACGATAGGAGGAGAAGTTAATGAAGAACTGGTTGATGCTGAGCTGGTACCTAGAGGGCTGTGAAGTGGAGGGAGACCTGGTCCTTCCATCTCATACTTACATACACACTCATTCTCCTATATCAAAATAGAGAACAAGAGTACAGACAGACAGACAGATGAATGATGAGGTATACATGCACACTGTACCTTCATGATCCAATGTCTATATTCATTATTTCCAAAAACCTTCTTCACAAACAAACTATAAAGATATCCTGATATCCCTGAACACAACCATGCATCAGACCTACAAAAAACAAAACAAACAAGTTGGTTCAAAATATACAAAGGTATGACACTTCTAAAGGTTGTCAAGTTGTCAACAATAAAGCTACTGACACTTTTTTATGTGTGACCTACATCTGGTGATCCCTGCTTTTACATTTTTGACTTATTAAGGGAAAAAAGATTGACTTTTAGCAAATCTAGTCACTCAATATTATGCATTTGGTCCACCTAAAAGAAAATGTGAATACCACAGTATTTTATAGAAGAAAAAACCTGTCTACATTTTGGGAAGCAGTGTCCATAGCTAGACCTGTCAACTTACAAGAGTGTCCACAAGTGACTGTGTATTTACGACAAATTTGAATTGACACACTTGACTTACATTTTTACATTGAAAGTACTAGTTAACCTACCAGTCCTGCATGCATATATAACAACCAAAAAACTGTTCAGCTAAAGCTTGGGCTAGAACTCTTCTTGTTATGAAAGTCTGGTCTATAATTTTTGAGGAGTGGAGAAGACTTGTGCTGGAATTGCAACGTCACAATATTTTAATATTGAAATCAATAAAGGTAAATACACTCTATATGACATGTACGTTAATAGTAGAATGCAAACATGAAATGCATGAAAAAGTATTTGCCAAATAGTGCTACAATGTAAATAGTGTGTATTTTGGAATTATTTGAAAATAGAAAACAAGGAATTCACATAAAATTCAGCAAAATGTCATCTTATAATAGTATTTGATTAGTATTTTTCATCTAGAAAAATAGTATTAGTGTTTTGGTGTTTTCTATAATATTGAATATTATTAGAATAAACTACTCTTTCTTCAGTTGTTTATTCATATATCAAAATAAACACAACTTACTTAAATATTGACATAGAAGCATAAGTCATCTTATCATCATATGCCTCATCCACAAAAACCTGTTTGTATTGGGTATATGGATATCGACAGCTAAGGTTTTCTTCATAGAACTCAAACACATCATGAATGAAAGCCGACGTGTGCTTTAGGTGAGACAGAAGACCAGGAAGACAAAAGTTTGTGACTTCTGGCAT